GCTAAGCTAAGCTAAGAGGCTGCTGGCTCGAGTAGTTATGGATCTTCTCATCTTCATCACTTGGTAACAAACAATCGATCGGTTTTTTTTTTTTTATGCACAAATAAGATTCCAGTTACCTGTTCTGTGTCGGAGTGGAGGCAGAACTCTCAAATACCTCAAAACAAACAAAACCAAAACTATAGTCTGAGTAGATCCCACTGGAGAATAATTAGGGGATGTTTTCTGTACTTTGGGTGATTGAATGAAACAAGGTGAAGGCAGTGAGGCAGCTCGTGAAAGCTCGAGGGGCCAAACAAAGACTTTTAAATACAATTCTGTAAATATATTCCGATTCTCCCGAGTGATGATCCCTTTTTGTTTCCAGAGCAAACTGTGATATAACACTGCCCACCAGGTAAAAGACAGTTACTACCAACACCTCGCTGGCTGTGTTGTCACACTCCTCCACTGTGGCTAGATGGGAGTAGGCAGGGCAGGCTATTTTTAGACCACAACGGCTGGTGGATTCACAAAAAGAAACCGGCCGCTTTCACCGCTTCACAAGAATACAGCAGGGCCTCTGAGGACGGCGGGAGAGGCCCGTGGCGGCGACTGCGGCCGGCGTTGGGCAGTCGAGCTGCGAGGGAGACTGGTTGGGTTAACATCTGCAGGTCAGGTCAAGAGAGCCGCTGCACACCGGAGGCAGGTGTTACCGGTTCGTTTGTGAGGCTCATCGGTGTTGAAGTCATGAAGCTCAACAAGCCCTCGTGGTGGCTGCAGCAGCAGGGCAGGAAAAAAACATTATTAAGCTACTGTTGGCTGGCGGAGGAGTTCGTGGTAAGCAGCCGAAACGGACGACGAAGTAAAAAACGTTCATCATGTGGGTTTTTTTTTTTTTTTACCTGAGTCTCGCACAAAACCTCATTCAGTTTGTGGACGATTTGTTTCGAGGTGAAACTCTTCAGAAACTACAAGAACGTTAACGACCGGTGAATTCTGATTCAGATTATCCGACGTGTGCTTTGCTGCCTCGTTGTGTAGTTTATTATGTACAGCTGGCTGAAACTAATGCAGTCTGCAATAAATCCTCCCTTCATGAAGGTTATAACGTTGAATAAGGTTTAGAGGCGTTGATCCGACAGTATCGAGGTCTATGGTCAGTGTTGAACTGCATTGCATTATACTTTAGTTATACTTGGGTAAAATGGCAGCAACACGTCTCTGTATAATACAATACAGTTCAGAATGACTCCATCATAATCATAAAGTTGGATCAGAACCTCTCTAAAACACAAACTGAACTCTTTCACCTTCATGGAGGGAGGATTTGTAAATGCACACACCTAGAACCTTACGGGTCCTCACAGGTTCAGGTTACGGGTCGCTAACTTCCCAACCGATCTCACTTCAGTTCATCTTGGCTTCTGGACGTATTTCACCTCCTTCCTGCCCTGCTGCTGCGTCCCTGCTCCATACCACTAACACTGAAAGATTGTAGCACCAACACAACACAGATGTAGCGTGTGCGGTCGCGGTCGAGGCTTCTGCACTCGCTACCTTTTAGTTTGGAAAGAGGACAGAGCCTGTGTACTGTATGATTAACCAATTTATCTTTGGTTCTTAAGGGGCTAATAATATAAACAAAAAGGTTTCTTAAAGCCAACATAAGAGTGATGACACAGAGGGGGAAAAGCACATGATAGTCTGAATATTTGGGTGTGATTTTTGTGTCTTATCAGCCAAAACAAACCAAAAGTCTTGTTTTAAAGAAAGTTCCAGTTCGGAAAAAGATGGGAATAAAATGCCTGATGATAGAGGAGGAGGAGGAGGAGGAGGGATGACGGGCTGGGAGGAGTAATCACTGCCGGGGTGAGGATGATGAGGCGGGGTTGGAGGGTCAGAGGGAGGGAGGGTTTTCTAAAACCTGCTCGCCCCCCTGCAGCCTGAACATCTCCTTTCCCCAACGAGCTGAGATCAGATCCAGGAATGTCAGCAGGTGGTCCAGCCTTCTTCATTTGTTTTGTTCTCCATCCATCTGTCCCTCTCTTTCTCTCACTTCCTCAGCCGTCTGTGGGTTCGTTCGTTCGTTTGTTTATCCGTCTGTCTGTCTTGCTGCAGGTCACTGGAGGTCTCGGTCTTCGAGGTACCGGTACTCGAACGTGAAGCCTTCCTTCTTCCGCTGGCCCCATTTCTCATAGTCAAAGTAAATGTACGTTCCCTGGAAAAGAAGAAGCATTATTTAAAGACAACGTAAGAGCTACTGACACATGACCTGGCAATTAAACCTGCGCTCCCAGCATGCTTTGTTCAGTTTCTCCACGAGAGGTTGAAAATGTGACGCTGACCTGCTCAAACTCATCAGTAATGGTCTTGGGTTCTTCGTGCCTCTGAAACCACATCATGTACTTTGTGTGGAACCTCCAGGACTGCTTCTTCAGGGCTTTGGCTGCCAGATACTGGGCCTTAGTGCCCTGCAGAGGGGAGCAGAATCACAGGGAGAGGAGGGCGGAGAATACGAATTAGTAAGAACACATGGGATATGTCAGAGTCGTGTGTTGATATCACGGCACTCGTCACGCCGCTTACCTCCAGGTAGTAAAAGATGAAGAAGAGTGTTTCTGTGGAAAGCCTCTGGTAAAACTCTACAGTGTCGGAGAGTGGCGGTGGCACCTGGTGGTGGAAAGGCAGGGTGGGGCACGGGTTCCTCATCAGGTACTGCCTGTAAGAGCCACACAGAGGGAGCGGTTAGTGGAAGGGAAATCTGAATTCACTCACTGGGTTCAGGTTCAGGTCCACACTTATATCTTATTTACTGTGTTAATAACGATGTAAATTAATCGGTGTAATCAGTGAGATTCAGGCTGGTTTTTAAAAATATGAATCATCAATCAATCAATGACAAATAAAGGGTGTTAACGCTTTTATTAATTACAGGGTGGGAAAATGCTGTTTTAACATCAAAAGACAGCTTTTAGTTCCACCTTTAACAATCTGTATTTGCTAGATTCAAGTAGGGCTGCAACTAATTTTCATTACTGATTCAACTCTTGATCTTTTTCTCCATTAATCGATTGATTGTTTGGTCCATAAAATGGGGAAAAAATCTTCAAATGTCTTGTTTTGTCCACAATCCAAAGATATTTGTTTACTGTCACAGAGGACTGAGGAAATTAGAAAATAATCACATTTCACAAAGTTTATGGACGTTTTTTCCCAATAATGAGTCATAATTCTATAGTTTCCTTGCCCCCGTCGCGAAGGCTTTTTGCTCATGAGTGGTACTGGTTGGGTCTCCTGTAAAGTTATAAGGAGTTTGGATCTATGACCTCTCATTTGAAAAGTGTCCTTGAGATAACTTCTGTTATGAATTGGGTATACAAATAAAAATTTAATTGAATTGAATAATTGATTAATTTAATAGTCAAGAGCTAATTGATTTTAATTGAAAAATGAAAAGACAACGAGAGGACCTTGTTCCAAAATCAATAAATATAAAGCAACTCTTAAAGTATGGAAAATGTTAGTGGACGGTGTAATGAAAGGTGTAATCTGAGTAGTTTTTAGTAGTGATATTAGATATTAGTTAGATAATTATGACTTAATATGAATAGAAGAATTATTTGTATTAATGATTAAATGCCTGCAGACATCCAGCATCAGCACACTGGCTCTAATCTAAAGTTAAGCCACACTCATGAACCCAGGTGTACCGAAGGGCCACAGTGGCCACCTGAGGACTCTACAGACAGACAAAGAGGTCTTTGATTAACCTCTCTGTGGAACAATTAACAGATCCATTAGTCCGATCGATCGACAGATTCACCTCCCTGATAGAGGAAGAGTAGGAAAATCTGCTCAGATGCACTTTTCCACCCGAACCATGTGTTTTTTACAAAACCCAGTTTGTTCTTTCTGTGTCCATTAGGCCGTTAGTCTGTTAGCCAGGTCAGTGAGTGCCAAAAATACTCAGCGTGGCCCAAAAAACAGGCCCAAAGTTTGAGACGGTGACAGCGTCTGACTAACACACTCCTCATGGACAGGCACGCTGAGGTTACTGATATGAATAAAATCGAGGACGAGCTGGAAGTTCTTATATGTGGCTGAAAATAACAGCCTGTGTGTGTGTGTGTGTGTGTTGGGAATTAATTACAGTTATTAAGAAACAATGACTTTCCTGTCATTTGTTTGTTTCACTCGACAGTTAATGTCACAATCTTGTTTTAAACACACACAGAGAGCCTTCAGGGATTTCTTTTTTTCTGTGTGTGTGTGTGTGTGTGTGTGTGTGTGTGTATGTATGTCACTCTCCTCCTCTGACTGTGAAACACAACAGGTACTGTGGGACAAGAGGGTTTGAGTGTTTGGATTTAAATGTCAATTGTACCTGTGTGGGCAGACTGCGCTGTAGATACAGAACCAGTATAATCTGTTCTCTAATTGTGCCTGCTGTGTGTGTGTGTGTGTAGGTATGCTACATTACTGCACACTGATAAAATGCCACATTATTTCTTGTATGAGATAAGTGCGTGCTGCAGCTGATGGATTTAAGGGAGATGAGAAAGAAAAGCTGCTGAATCTGGACAAAGTTCTTCTAAATCTTTTCAAATTAAAAGCTTTGGCAAAAGCAGAAACGTCCAACAGTAGGACGCAAATGTTTCCTGTTTACTCAGATCAACCATTGAGGCTTCTTCGTCTTTTGTTATTTTCACAGATCAACAAGTAGGAGATCAGTTTAAATTGATTATAAATGAGATTGTATGATCACTGCAGTTTACATTCTTTATGGCTCTCATGGTAAAAACTTGTTGACTTGTTTGATTAAGCTGCCTAATGATGATTTTCACCTGTATTTTGGAATTATTGATATTTATTTAATCACATTCTCACACACAAAATGATTAGATGATGAATTAAAAATCTAAAAAGCCTTATTTAGTCCGTCCAACAGTACTTTTACTCACATACTGTAATAAAGTGCAGTTTCGAGGTATTTCTACTTTAATATTTATATACTTTATACTACTGTAAGGAAAGTGATGTAACTGAACAGACAAAATATAAATGAGTTCATCAGACATTGTGATTAACAAATATATATGTTATAAAATAGCTATTATAATATGTGAACATTACAGTATTAGTACATCTAATGGTTTCTTTATCTGCGGGCCGATAAAGAAACCAGCGTGGAGGTTTGATTTCGCCGCGTGGTGCTAAAATGTGAGAGGTAAACATTTAACTGCACCTGATCCTCTCGGAGTCGGACGGGTGGGGCATGTGCGTCCACGCCGCCTCCTCCATGGCCTGTTGGTAGAGCTGGTCTTTGGACAGGGGAACCGGCCCCAGCGGGCAGACCCCCAACGACGGGGGGATGCTGACCTCTGACAGCGAGGGCTGAGGTGCTGTCGGGGGGCCCGAGGGGGCCGTAGTGCTGCTGGGGAAGATGTCTGAGGAGAGACAAAAGAGAAGACGAGAGATTAAAGTGTGAGGGAGATGAAAAGAGTGACGGTGAAGGAAACTGAGGATGTAGGGGAGTGAGAGAGGATGTGCAGCAAGAGGGGGGAGAGAGGGGGGGAGGGATTCAGGATTTGAAGTCAGAGAGACAAAGAGAGAGAAGTTGAGTCAGGGCTGATAATATCATCAGCAGTTTTTGTTCAGAGGAGGCTGAGAGTGGGAGGTGAGATGACATTTTGTTCCATTAAACTACAGCTTTTCTATTTCTGCTCTGTGGCAACCCTCTATCTCCTTTTATTAAGGTGCATCCGTGTGTGTGTGTGTGTTACCTGGGGTGAGGTGCAGGGAGGGCACGTCTCCCTCCATCCCTGAGCTGAGTGCTGCTCGCTCGGCCATGGACTTCAGGCTGCTCAGAGGCTCCTGGGGCTGATGAGGACAGACAAGGAGACTCATGGGAAAACAGATCGCAGCGGACGTGTGCGCGCGGTTATCGTACCTGCCCCTACGGAGGAACTCGAGTTCCCGCACCAGTGATAATGTTGTCATGGAAATCACTTTGGCTTCACTTTTTGTTTGTTTGCCCCCGTCCCCTCCCCTCGGAGATGCTTTTGACGTAATATCAGGCAGCCGAGGAGCGAGATCAGACCGCAATGACAAAGAGAACAAAACAAAAAAAAGCCGCCACATGCGCCAAGAAAGCCAACAGAGAACCAATATTCTAGCAATATGCTGCTTCCAACTTCTGTTTGCAAAGCAAGCTCCATGAATGAAATGTTTCTGGAAGAACTCGCACAGAGCCCTGACCATTCCGACCCCATTAATCTGATGGAAACCTGGAACCAGACCTGGATCACACCAACATGCCAGACATGATCACCCCAAAAATCAGACCTGATCACCCAACATCAGACCTTTTTTCTCTATTTTCTTACATCTATTGATCCCTCCTCCATCTTCTTCTCTGGCATGAGTCCGTGATGCTGGTTATAGTCAGCTCAGATCTAATGGTCCTGTTCAGAATGAGG